TTTCATCCGTGCTGCAGCGAGGATGAAGGGATAGGCTGACAAATGTGCAGCTACCCAGCTTTTCAACTAGATCAAAGGTGGACATCAGACTCTCTTCAGCTTATTGCAGCACTACAAGGTAGAGCTGAGCCTGGAAGCACAAGACAATGTAGGACTGGTGAGGGAAATTAAAGCACTTCAATCCACAACTGAAATCCAAGCCCCTGATCAGGGCCTGAGAAGCTGATGCCTGAGCTGTTAGACCACTGAAGTCCTCCCCAAAGGCACCTTGGTCCCAGTGCACAAGCCTTTCTTAGTGCTGGGTGTGGAGTCGAGGCTCCCTTTACCTGTGGACACTTCCCAGATTTTCAAAGTCTCTCCTTGCTTTCCCTCTTCCCTATGGCTTCTTGGGTCTGCTGTGACGTGTGCCAGCTCTTTTACACCTCTTGGGAGCTGATGCCTGCTGGCTCAGGCATGCCCAGGAGAGAGGGAATGCAAACCTCAGAAGCTCCTTTTGCTAAAGGAAGAATTAGACCAATGTTCCTCAGCCCAAGTAAGACTGTGCTTGAGCTGCTGATGGTTGCTTGGAGTTTGAAAGAAAAATTTGGTACCTGCTTTCAAAAGATGATTGTGAGCTATGAGCTGAGAGTGGAGGGACTTGTGCCTGTGTACTTCATTCACCAGAGGGCACTTAAATCCAGGAGAGAGCTAGGATTTAGGAAGAACTGCAATCTTCAGCCTTCCTATTAGGCTGGTTTAGGCAACTCCCCAAAGAGTGGCTTTTGTGAATCCCCCTCCAAGGCACTTTACTTACATACATGCATGGAGTAATGGCATCTAATTCAGGCATGTGGACTCCATTATGGAGCCAGATGCAAACATCCCCTCATGGATTGGGATCTGAAAGGTTCTATATCCTGTACTGCCAATCAGCTAAGGCCTTTATTCCCTGCCCCATCCTCCTTTTTTTTTTTTTTTTTGTTTCAAAATCTAGACTTTTTAAAGGCAGATAAGCATTTGTAAAAATTATTCTTCTATCTGTGTAAAGTTGTAGTTAAGGCATGTGCTGGATATTCCCAGGATGATGCAGTTAGATCAACAGTGACTAATTCCACAAAATCTGGCATTAGAAAAAGCAGTGGACTTAAATTATATCATATCCTTCCCTCTAAACTTTTTCCACCAGATTGTCATTGCTGAACATCAGAACCAAAGGTTTATGGCTACCTACAGGCCATGGCTCAACCAAATTCAAAAATAAATCCACTAGGCTGGTATTTCTCTAGAAAGCAAAATGGAGCTATGTTTCATACAGCAGGATGGCTATCAGCAATGCTTAAAATTATTTTCATTTTTGTGTTTTGTTTGACTCTGAGATGGGGCACCTGCATTAATTCTAAGTTAATTTTGCCTTTAGTCAAGAAACATGCTCAGATTTTCAAATGTTAGCAGAAATCACATGTTCTTGATAGAAATACTTCTGATCTGCTTTGTGGTAGGTTTAACTATGTTAATGAAAGAGGTATCTGGAGTATATAATTATAGCCCACAGGATCAGAGCAAGATGGTTTTTACTTTGGTTTGAACAGTATTGCCTGAAAATTGTCACAAATTTCTCAATAAATTAAATAGTAAGACTGATTAGATCCTGCAGGAATGAGCTCCTTAGAGGAGCTGTACTCACAGTTCATATTAGTAAAGTCACCCAAGGGCTAGTGTTCCCAAAAGTGTGTTTGCAGCTTTGTGAGACACTTGGACAAGTGCCAGCACTGGATGTGGGGTGCAGTTTGGGCTGTGTTTAGAGCAGGAACAACACTAAATGACAAGGTACTCGTAGGTGAAAAGCAGCCAAACCAGCAGCCCTGAGCAAGGTGCTGGGAGAGTGCTGGGACAGCCTAAGCACACACACCTGAGTGTATGCACACAAATGAAACAATCAGTAAGAATTCAAAAAAAGAAATCAAAACCCCAAGTCATCTTTGCTGGTATTTCTGCAAGTATATGGGTAGCTTGTGCTGGCATAACTGTTTTACACTGAGGGGACCCCAGAGCACAGCAGCTTCATGGCAGGCAAAAGAAAAAAGACCTGGAGGAGGGCTGGGTCTGGAATGAAGGGGAATGAGTGAGGGAAATAACTGAGATACCAGAGATTTAACAGCTCTCTGCTTGGAACTGGGAGGTCATCCAATTTCTTCCATCGTCATCAATTTAAGCTTTAATATTAAATCAGCAGTGATTGTACTGGATAAAAATCTAAAAGATTTTATAAACTATGGCATCCATGGTTGCTCTTTCATTAGATACTGTTCTCAATACAGCTTTTTGAAAGTAACAGGCAGAGAGGAGAAGTAAGGCAAACTTACAGAGAGTTTTCATCCTTTCTTTTAAGAAACAGAGGTCAGAATGTACAAACTGCTGCTACATGACAATGTCATTGCCTTTAAATGGATTAATTTCAAATAGTATCTATAGAAATAAATTATGACCCTCCTCTTCTTTTCAACCTAAAAGGCAGTACCAGTAATCAAAATCACAAAGAAATCGAAAAAAAGCCCTCAACTTGGTATATTTAATTTTTTTTTCAATTTTGGGGTTTTTGCCTATTCAGCTTCTAGACTGGATTATCTCCTAATATGTGTACAAATCTCATAAACCACTCCTGCTTCTTGTCTTCCTGAATTCCTTCTTACTTCTCTTTTCTCTCTATTACTAATAGCTATATCTTGTTTTATCCTTTCTTGTGCTTAATATTTATTCCCCAAATCAGTATCTTAGCAGTAGTCTATTGAAAATTATTTACTTTTTTTGGGTACTGTAATAAGGATTACACACCATTATGTCTTTGGCTTGGAATAAAGTCCTCGAGTCCTCATCTTGATTAAATGTGACATCTGAAATGAACTTGTGTTCAGAGATCTAAGCCATGACAAGTTATCCAAAGGAAGGATAACTTGTGTTTCCTGCACTTGCAGTCATCAGTGTTTTGTGACCATACAAAATTGCTGTGGCATTCATATCCCAGTGATAACTGCTATGGAAGAGAAGACAAACCTACTTATTTTTCATTTGGAAATGCAAAATTATTAGCGCAATACTGTTGAAGAATTTGCTGGCTAGGTTTCCCTTCTCTGCCTCAGGCAAAAAAAGATTGTTGAAGTTTAATACTTTATGAAACCTCCTGACTATGAAGGTCTAGTAATTCTCCTTGGAAGGATCTGTGACACAGATAAAATGCAGAAATCTGAACAGGCATGATGGAAAACTACCTGCAGTAGAGACTGTAACTTTGAGAAAGTTGTGTCCCACCAGTTCCTGTGCATTGATTATACTGGTGAATATCTATTTTATAAAGTAAAAAGTAGTTTTCTTAGTTCAGTAATTTGGGCCACTACATGATCTGGAATAGATTTTTCTCAAGTAATTAAATTAATTACTTCCATGTAACAATTAGCAACACCAGAAGCTTGTGAAATTCAGGAGTTGGAGTACTGTCACTTGTGCAGACAGGCAGTTAGACATATGTAGATAACCCCATTAATTTCAATGAGAACTGTTACCTGTATAAAATTTGCTAATTGTTAAATATTTTAAAATTAACCTCAACTTATACACACCCAGACAGTTATCCACACACTAGACTGTAGCCTGTTTTTCCTAATCAAGCAAAATTACAATGAGAATTTTGCTCAATTAAGAACCGAATAATTTGGCTGACTTGTACTCAGTTTTTGGCAGTAGAAAAAAAATTAGTTTTTCCAACAGTAAGTGCCAGTGTAAAATATTTTGGCAAGGAAAAAATGTCAGTTTAGATCTAAGAAATTACCATTTTCAGGCAGTAAAATTAGAATCACTTTGGTTTGTATTAACTGAAAAATACCTAAACCCTGGCCAGCTATCATGCAGCTAAGTAAACAGGTACCCACTACTGGCCCAGATTCCATTCTCAGTTATAGAAGCATTTTGACTGCAGTGGAGGTAACTCCCATTTATAAGGAGAAAAACCAATATTACTGAATCCCAAGTTTTGCATGTGCCTAATTTATTGATATTGATATTCTTCTGTAGAAATTATCATTGTGGTTAATGTATCTAGTTTTAAGTGGACAACAGTGATTGCTACTGAGTCCATTTACTACAACTTACCTTGCTAGTTATGATATTTAATGGGATGTCCCAGATGAACAGCTTCACTAGCCTAGCCCCTCTGAGCTAAAAGGAAATTTTCCAAAGATGGAAGAGTTGGAAGATAAGTGGGAGTGTTGCTTTCCTTTAATTATTTTCTTCTAAGGAAATGTTTTTCTTGTCATTCTTTTCATCTATTCAAAATTGTCCAAAAGTCTTCCTGGAAACTGGGCTGGAAATGTCATGAGAACAGACATTATTTCATATATCTTGTTGCTACCGCGCTGGCGCGGTGATGTGGAGGAAGGGTTTTAGAAAGGCCTTGGGAATGGGAAACTGAGGAAAAGATACATTTATGTATGCCCCATTGTTTCGGGAAAGTTTCGCTTCAGGATTTTTCTGTAACCCCCTTCTCCCCACCCCTGAGCAGTTCCCATTGGACCTGATCCCTGGGGTGGTTCTGATGGGCCCATGCTGAACACTGTCTCTATTGTTTAGACCTTATCTCTTAATTTTGCTGTATAAAACTGTATCTGGGTAGTAGCCCAGGGTCTTTTGTCCCTGCAACCATTCAGGCAATAAAATCTCTCCGGACTGCATACAACTGACCTCTCTTTGTCGCTTTATCCCGAATCCTTGCGGCATCCGAGGCACACCACCGCTCGGACCGTGCCAACCCAGCTGCTGCCTGGTAAGCCCAGTGCAGTGGGACAGTGGCAAACCCCGGTCCCCTGAGGGGACAGAGAGCTGGAGGGGTCCCGGGGGGCTGGGGAGGGACGGGGAACAGCCACAAGTGATCCCCGGATGCCGCAATATCTGATTTTCTTTTTTTCAACTGGCGACAAAGATCCCATTTAATTAAATGAAAGCAGATTTTGGATGTCTAAGTTGATGTACAGAACTACAGGCAGTAGGAGAATGAGGAAAGAACCTGTAATGTGAACATATCACAGTAAAAATACATACTTACGTTCAGAATTGACTATTGTTTTACAAGGAACTCCCAAGAAAACATGCATGTGGATCCCACTGCCTGCAGAGGTTCTCTTTAAACACTCATGAAATCAACATATCATACTTAGAAGATTTCTTGGTTTAGCTGGAAGCAGGGCTGTAAATGTTCTGCTCATATCCTTCACCATGGGTTAGCTGATACCACCAGCACACCCACTTCATACTTGTGGAAAAGGCTACTCTTCACTGGCCTGCTTGGGTGTTCTGCAGGCCAAGTGTCAGTGCTGCAATCAGGTCTATAAATCTGCTACATTATTTGTGTGCTGAAGCTTCTCTTCCGATTGTGATGAAGAAATAATTGAGTTGCAGAATTCCACCAGTTACATGTGATGCTCATTGAATTTTATTCTCTAACAAAAGTTATTTTGTAAGTTGGGGAGGAAAAAAGTTTAAATGTAAGTGGATACATATATTTTTGGTACTTAAAACCATTTAATTACATCATTATTTTGCCAAGTAACATGACATGGACAAGTTAGATGTTAGCCTTTTTTATAATTTCACCAAAGTGATCATACATATTTGTTTGCTGGCTACACAACTACATTTGATCTTTGTCCAAGCACAGAAAATTAGTGCAAAAAAAGTATGGGAGGATCCAGGGCTTCCAAATATATTAAACTCATTACTAAGATGCTTTCTTAAACTTTCTCATAGTTCAGCCTTGTTCACTCTTGAGATGTTCTTGTTCACTTAGAGGTGATGCCTCACTGACTTAAAGTAATAATCCTAAATTGAATTGTCTTGTAAAGAAATGCAACAGTGTAATTGTCATTTTAACATAGATGCTTCTCAAGAAAAACCCAATTTGAATGTTACTACATTTTAAAATATATTTCTATGACCTTGTTTAGATGTGCGCTACCAAAGGATGCATATTGTAAGTGAGCTGAAGTGTTCGTATGCAGAAAAGCCAATGTTTTTTACTGCAGGTAAAACAGAGCCTCCCATAGTTGTTATCTCTGAATGTGGGGCTGGTGCTTTGATTCAGAATGGTGAAACAGGCACATGCTGAATGTTTACTATTCTCATTGGATATTTCTTCCCACAGTACTGGAGGAGAGTGGGTTAGAAAATGATTGTGAAATACTGTTCCCTTCTCCTAGGAGAACATGTTGTCCCAAGAAAACTAAGGAAATGCTGGCTTACACTTTTTCCAAATGAGTTTACTGTAAGTGTGGCAGTAAGTGGCAGTAAGCTGTTTTATGCACTGCATTGTTTCCCACAGTATCCAGTCCCTGCAGTTGACAGTTTACAGGTGTCTCTGAACCTCTGACTTCAAATAAAGCCACACAGAGACCACAAGTCAGTCCTGATGAGCAGACACAATTCTTCAGGTTCTCTTCAAGGCTGTGAGATGCAAAATAGTTGTTTCCTTGAAAAGACATTTGTCAAGAAGATGACAGGTCTTACTGAAGGAAACTTTACAACAACTCTACACTTTATGAGAGAGGAATAAAGCTGAGGCCCTAATGCTCATCTCTGAGTAGTGTAATTTAAAATAATCCTCCACTGCATCAATGGCATTTTCCATGTGTAAAATGAGGATATCATGGCTGAACAGAACCAGTGCTTCATGTTTGTAGCTAATTTATCTCCTGACAAACAGGAGGGGAGCCCTTCTTACTGTCAACTTTCCAATATGGCACACACTGAGGCTGCAGAAGTCTTGGGCAGTAGGGGCTGAAGAGGGTAAAGAAGCACTGACCAAAAATCACACTGACCTGCTGCAGATTTTTTGTTTTAATCCTGTAAGTCCTTGTCATGCTGCAAAGAGCCCAGTTTGCTGAAGGAAAACAAGACAAAGGAGGGCATGATTTGGGTGAAATGCATGGGGAGGCCATGTCTCGGGCATGCACAGACCTCCTGACATGGGCTGTTTCCAGTGCTCCGTCTGGGTGGGGAAGGGGTGCTGCAGTCCTTGTGTCTTCACCTATGCACTTTCTGGCTCCTCCACCTCCATCCACCCTTTCCCAAGGTGGCAAAGCAAGCCAGCCTGGGGCCGCTGTCCCGGAGGATTGACCCTTTCATCTAGGGGGCAGGACTCCTACCACCAGCAGTGATCCCACCTTCAAGCTCAGCGGCTCAGGCTGCGACCTGCTTTTGGAGGTGACCTGTTGTGACTTAAGGACTAGGTAGTGCTAGTGAGCCAAAAGAGAGCTGAAATGGGAGATAGAAATGAGCCTCTGAAAGCACTGGGAAGGCTGGTACTTGCATAGTTCTGTAAAGGCAACAGTGTTAGTCCTAAGGAAAGGGTACTATTTCTACAGCTATAATCCAAGACATTTTCCTTGTTAGCACCAAAGCTGCACTCTGGGATTCATCTTGGCTTAATACAGACACCGCATAGGGAAGTTCAGGGATGGTCAGCTATTATGAACAATTGCAGCTTTGTAAGCTTTGGAGTTTTATTTGATTCCTGTCCTAGGTTATAATATTGGGGTGTATTCCATTACCACCTCGAGCTACAATCCCTTTCTTTCCTTATCTTGTAACTCAGACATAAGCCCCTCCAGGAGGACCTGTTCTTTTAGCCACATGACTGATAAGATCACAGCATTCTATTGTGAAATGCTCTGCCCATAGGGAGGAGCCAAACGATGCCATCAAGGATATAAGCAGGGTTGTGCAGACAGCAAGTAGATCCCCTCTTCCAAGAAGAACAGCTGAGACCTTCTCTACACTGGACCTCCAGAGGGAAACTACATCAGTCTACAAGACCACTGCTTGGACAGAACCGTATCTGCTACCACTGCCCTAGCCAGCAAGTGTCAGGTTGCATCTCTAACTCTGTCAGTGGTTCTTCTTTTGTGCTATTGTATGTATTTAGTTATTTGTTCCCTTTTTCCTAATAAATTTTATTTCTGACTTAAAGCCTCTCACTATTTTGCTTTTCAAACCAGGACAATTCCCTACTGCAGTCTTTAGTAGATAGAGTGGGTTTGGCATTTAAAACCCATCTTGTATAATTTTTCTAACTCTAGATACAGTCACCATAACTTATCTGTGGCAATAACAAAGGAGAATTAGATGTCTTTGTAAACTTACTTGTAACTATGATAAAAAATGGGGTTTTTAAAATATTTATAAATTATATTTACAAAATCAAGCACACTGAATGCCAAATGGTGTAGCATCAGAAGATCAAATGTTTCTTATCGATGTATATGTGTTTAAATACTGACAGGTGCTACAGCTAGTTCAAACGTCTGTTGGAGCGATTTTTGATCAGGATGGAAACTGCGCTGGGATTTCACGGGAGGTCTTCAGGAGCAGACACGTCTCGGTACTGAAGCTGCCCTGCAGGTGGCGTAAGCCATCTGCTCAGCACAGGCACAGCTCTAATGCTACGCTTGTGTTTCAAAGAAGAAAAGCAAAATAATAAAAACATGCTCACAAAACTGTTCTTTATATAGGTGCTGTGGGCCATGTTGGCTGATGCATGGCTGTGTTACACCGCCTTCAATGTTGTGATAAATGAAAGATATTTTTTTCTGGTAAAGGTAAAATCGTATTTTAAGACACAGTGTTTTCTTGTGCCTTTGAATGAGGAGAGTCTGCCTTTCTTTCAGGTACTTTGATCACCTACAGAGAGCTCATTACAAGCTGGTGAGTAGAAAATGATGAGCATCAGTCTTTTGATCTTAACTATTCTAGATTTAGGGGAAAAAGAACAAAGTTTGAGTGTGTCTACAGTTCCTACGCATTATAACATCCATTTAGGGGCCACATCCATTCCTGGCTGAGTTTAATCACAGTGTGAAATGTGGTTTGTATTCCACATCTGGCCATTGTAGGAGGAGGTAACGCCTACATTCAGGCATCTTTTCTGCTCCATTCAGAACTACTGAATCTCAGAGAAAAACTGTCCATATCTAGGTCAAAAGTGAGGAGGGAGAGGAAATTAAAAAGAAAGGGAAGTCAAAGGAGGATTGTCTGGCGAGACCTTAAATCCTTAGCTCTTCACTGTAGCCCATGTGGGTAACTGAACTTCTGAGCCAAGTACAAAAGTCATGAGGTTTTAGGTACAGTAAAGAAATTCATATCTCAAGGTACAGAAATATGTGTCTCAAGAAGGAGTTGCACAGTGACCAGAATGGGTATTCTGTCCCAGCCTGAAGGACAAGGTGTGCAAAGTATGTGAGCATCTGAGATTGGAAATAGATCCCTCATGATATTGTCAAGTATGCCTGTGGGAAGAACAGGGAAAACCACACCAAGCATGTTCAGCACCTGTAGACACAAAGTGGGCTTGAGTGTTTGGCACTCACAGTGTGCACAACATTCTCCACATGTATGATCATGCTAAGCTATGTCACAGGTTGTGAAGTTAGGAAGACAAAGAAAAAACTTACTTGGAAGATTTAAAGGATACACTTTGCAAAAAATTCAGCCAACACCTGGCTCACCAACTGTTCTATTTTTACTGTTTAATCCCAGTCACACTCCTATGATATCTTTGAATATTCTGAGTCCAGGAGAGATGAACCCAAAGACAGGATTAATACAGAAGATTATTTTTTCTTTTCATTTCCACAGCACAGTCCTGAATACAGCAAGTAGTGATTTCATAAAAAGCAGTGGTTGCAGTCACATCTGAGTTACATAAGTAATATAACTCTTCTTTAGATTTCTGAGGTTACATACCTCCAGGAAAACATGTCCACTTGCTATATATTTAATTGAGTTTGGGAAATAAAAATGTTATTTTCAGTGTTTTCCAGGCCAGAGCTAAACCTTTCCTAAAGGAGATTTTAATAATATCCAGAAGAGGGAATGAACTTACTGCAGGCAAAAATTATAATATAATAATAAAAAGTCAGACTGCTCCAAGTCTCATTTGGCTCAACTGCTGAATTTAGGAGATTTCTCTTAAAAGTCTTTGGTGTATTTTAGTGTGTCTCCACAATGGTTGGGAAAAAAACAAACATAACCTGTTGAGAGTTCACTTTATATAACTCTTCCTCATCATGCTAAATTTTTAGCAGAAAAACTGCAGACCACTGGGTTTACCTGAGCTGGGTAAGCCTTTTAGCTTACCAAATATCACATCAAAAGTTGGGACTGAGTAAGTGTTAAAGTTTTGTTAGAATGGCGTGTCCTAAAGTAATTGTAGAATGCCAAAGACAGAACTTCCCGTGTTCCTTCAGGCCGAGCAGGGATGCCAAGCATATAGAATTGGAAGCTGCCTATAAGGGTTTTTTTATTTGCTTGATATTGAGCAGACAGCAGAGATAAAATACCAAAAATGCCTGAAATCCTTACGACCTTTTACTGCAAACTGTGAACTTTGTCTGCTAAACTCAAATTTCTATTTACACTGTCAGCAGAGGCTACATGCTGTTGCCTTTTCTTTGTCTCTTCAGTTTGTCATCTATCAAGGGACAGCTTCACAAACACTGCACAGGATGAGGGACCTGAACACATACCAGACCTTCTGCACGTTCAAAATTCTTTGTCTCAGTTCTGTGGATTGCTTAAAAATGGCTGCAGTGAGAGCAAAGTAGCATGAAATATGCTGTTTGCACCAAAAGTAAGAAATATTCTATAGAAAGTTTTAGCTTTGCCATCAGCTGGCATAGCTCACATTCTGAAGTTGTGTCCCAAATCCTGCACAGCTGACTCCATTTACACCATCTTCCATTAACACAGGAACACACAGGTGACTGCCCACTAAATGGTCCAAAATACATTCAGCAAAGAACTGCATCACCTTCTTAAACTAAATATCCCTGATTTCAGCCTTGTGCTTCAACATTCACCCACCCTTGTAAATGAGGAGCTAGACTGTTGCAGAGAACAAGTGCAGAGGAGATTTCAGAGGTATAAAGTAGAAATTGTGAGAGTGAGTAGAGTGAGGGTGAGGGTGACTGAACACTGGCATCAGTTGCCAGGGTGGTTGTGAAGTCTCATCATGTGAAAAATTCAAAAGTTTTCTGGATGTGGTCATGGCCATCCAGTCTAGGTGTCCCTGCCTGAGCAGGGGGATTGGACAAGGTGACTTCCAGGGCTGCCTTTAGACCTCAACCATTCTTGTTCCTATGGAAGACTACTGTGAACTGTAATATTTGTTGCTATTTGCATAACTTTGCCAATTAAAACAGAACAGCCTTAATCAATTATTTAAATAAACCAGACAGCTACATAAAATTCCTTTGAAACTTAATAGAAGGTTGAATTATATAACAAATGTTTTAGCTGAATTCTTAGTATTAGATGGGCAATTATTCTGACTGTATTTCAAATTTCATTTCACACTGTGGTAGCATTCCTTGAACTTTACAAGGCAAAGGCATTAATAGAGTTGTGTCTGAACTCTTTAGGGTCTAAAAAACTGTCTTAACATGAGAATTTCTTGAGAGACTTCTGCACAGAAAATACATTGGTGTTTCCAAAAGAAACTGAGTTCACAAGGAATCATTTCATTGGCACATTATGTTAATGAGGCTTTTGAAAGAAGAAATTTCACTTAGTGTTGCTTTCCCCTGAATGTGAAAGCTGTGGAAAATGTGTGGAAAACATTGGCAAAGTGATGATGGCAGGTGTATGCTCTATATGTTACTGTTAATGAGCTAGCTGTTAATAAACCATATGCTTTAGCATATAAACAGGAAGATTTATGCATAATGCAAACATTTACTGTTTGGTATAACTGTTTCCCAGATCAGAGAGGCACATTGTTCCAGTCTTCCACAAACTTCTTGTTATCAGTATAAAAATCTGCTGCCTACTGGTTTCAAGTTCTTTTCATGTGAGTTGGTCTGGGGTGTAGTGGGGCTCGGAAGCAGAGAATTTAGTGAGCAGCAGGTTCCTCAGATGTCTGCTCTGCACAGCCTGGGATCATAAACTTGTCATTATGGCTACTAACAGCAAGCAGGAGGTTTCTATACAACATCCCAATTCTAATGATTCGCGGAGTCAAGTTCATCCTGTTCTTTTTATGTGTTCTTCTGTACTGAAGCTTTTTGTGTCAATTATCACTACTAAAGTCCTAAACAAGCCCCTTTTCTGCAAAACACAGACAAAAGCAACCATTGGGTTTATTCACAATAATGCTTGGATTAGTTAAAGAAACCACATTTATAAATCGGAAAAGTAAATTTCTAAGCTATTGAATAACACTGCTATGTTTGGAAAAGATTTTTCTTTTGTAATTCTCCTTTAATTTCCTCCCATCTAAAGCTGCTGTGAGGAGTCTGAAGCTAGGTTTTCATGAGTAAGTGAAGGAGTCCAGCAACCTGTCTCCTATTTAAAATAAATGGTCCTGGAAATGTATGGTAGCATTTCCATAAATACTTGAATAACTTGAGGTTTAGGTTCCACTAAAGGTCTTCCAGTATTTCCAGCTCCCCAAGGAAGACAGAGAAAAAGCAGACCAGTAAACTAATCCTTACTATCAGATAAGCAGGGATTGAATGGAGGCACATAAAGCACGAGAAAACGAGGAGGAAACTGTGGACAGAGGAGATGCCTATGTTCAAGAAGTTTATACACTGAGAGGCATAAAAGGCAGTTCAACAGGAAAAAGGATAGACAGAAAAAATATCAGACTATACAAATTGAAACATTACTTTCAATCACATAGGTTTGTTTTGGATTTTGAGATACAAGCTCTGTAAATCCACATTGTATAACTTTATCACCTGACTCAGTGCCTCTGAAGTCAGCACAAGTATTTTTTTCATTTTGCTTCCTGATCAGATTAGAAAGTGTTTGAAGTCAAGCTGTGCATTCTGACAACTTTCTAAATAGTTTTGCTTTCTTCATTTCAGTTGTTGTTTTTCAATTTAAAAATATTATTAAAATACCACTTTTGGGTGGGTAGTGACTACCATGACACTGTGTAGAAAACCAAAGCAATCTGAAGCAAGCTAGACATTCTAAGTACATTTTTAAAATACCTTATTGCTTAAATAAAAGAAATCCCTTAGTCTAGCAATTAATTTCAGATGTTTGATTGTTTCTTTTTAAAGAACTGTCATGTCAACCATTTAGAACTGACAAGAACTATTTTGGTATCTTCATGAGTTTTCTCCAACATCTGCTCTCCTCCTTATGTTGGGAACTACATACTCATCTTTATTGTCTCTTGTATTCATCTTAATTTTGCTGTATTTTATTTTATTATTGGAGGAAAACCTCACAGAGCTGTTTGTGGCAAGATTTAGTTACAGGAAACCCAACAGCTAAGCCCCAGTTTCAGCTGAGACAATTAGACTGTTGATTTTGGTAGCAGCTCAGGACTTCTATTTGACCCAAATGCCTTTCAGATCTATCTGCCAGTTGATGCTTAAGTCTGAAAATTTTCTGTATTCTTGCTACAGATAGAGGGCTTTGTTTCCTTTTCATTTGAGGTGTATTTCTATCCAGATCTGAATGTTTTGCTGAAATTCTTTTCCATTCACTGAAACAGATTAAAAGAAAAAAAGGAAATAATATTTTCTAGAACTTTCAACCTCTTTTTAAGTTTCTTTTCCCCTTAAATCTCTGTTCCTTGATATCTGTGAATTGTTGAGGACAGTGTTTTTCTAAAAGCAATTTTGCCACTCATTCAAAGTAATGGGTGCTAATTTGTAATGCTTAGTTTAACTGTCTCTTTTTCTGTCTAGCAGCTACATTTAATAGCTTATATTACTGTTTCACCTGTTGTAATAAAGAACTCTAAAACACTGAAAACTCAATACTTTTTAAAAGTGATCTATATTATGTAACACCAGAAGATATTTATTGAAATGTTTGAAGAAATTACTAATGAACAGAGCAGTGTTGTTATACTGTCTTTTCATCAACTGCTACAGAAACTTCACAGCTGAATTATCCAACTCCACTGCCATTCTTGGATGGATGTTTTCTTAAGTGGATGGGCTCTAACACTTTATGGATGTTCTGGGAGAATGTAAATAATAACTAAGAAGTTTTTTATTCTCTGTCAGTAGTTTGTGGGCTAGAGTCTTGAGCATTTTTTTTCTCTTTTTGTTCCTTCTTTTTTCTCTTGTTAGACTTTCCTAGCACCTGATGTAGGATAGGTCACAGCAGCTGATGCTGGGTGAAAACAGTTACCAGGGACAGCTCCAGCAATGGAGTGGTCAGAGATCCTAAAATCCTGTCACTGCACCAGTCCACCCCACTGGGTTCATAGTTCAGAGGTCTCCAGTGGGTTTCCATGATTGTGTGACTCTGCTGGTTTTCATCTCAGACAAATCACGTATGACTTCTCCGCAAGTGAGAAACGCTACTGAATGTGGCGCTCATTTTCCTTAAAAGATGTCAAGAAAGTCTGAGGGAGTTCCATGATTAATTCCTGCCATGTGGATTCTTTCAAATAATTAGCTTTCTAGAAACCAAAACAGTGCAGGACACTACTGCAATGCAACTTGTTAAGCAATAACGCGTCTTTTCTTCCAGAAGTCACACTTGATAACAAACAATACTCATAGGCATAAGATGACTGTGGACAGTATGAGCTAATGTCTCGTCAGAAAGTTTTCCATTAAGGCTCAGAATTATGTTTAACATATTCTTCCCATTATTGAGATAAATTAAACAGTGTATTAAGTATGGATTTCTCAGTTAATGTTAACTGGTGTTTATTTTAGCATGTACATAGATCTGGAAGTGGACACATGTACGTAGGCATTTTGGGGATCAAAAGCACATCAACAGCGTGGTTCACTCTAGTTCCAGGATAAAATGTTTTCTAACATTTCTTTTTAATGAAACTTAACTCCTTACTCTTTTCCAACCAGAAAAGTATATTTAAACCAAGCTGCTTTACAGAAACACAAATATGCCAAATGCCATACATGTTCTCTCCTATCAAACAATGGAGAATGACTGAAAGGATAGATTTCTTTATCTATGATAAAAAGTGCTGCTGAGGATGATCACCAAAATTTATGTACCGTATAATTTTCTACTCAAAAGTCAAAAGCTTTGGTGTATAGCAAATATGTGAATAACTTATCAAACCCTGTATAGGTGATGGCTTTAAGACAACTTCAGTTTTAAGCCTTTGTGCTTTGTTTTTGGCATTACATAGAACTCCTTAGGATTGCAAAGTTTACATTAGAAAAACTTACATTGCAAAGTTTACTTACATTGAGGTTTTGGGACAGGGCAGAAGATGGACAGGTTGGCTGATTTTCACTCTAGGAGACACAGATTTCCTGATTGTGTTAGGCCGGGTGTTACTTTGTTGATTTTAGGTTGGTCCTAGGGGAAAAAGAAAGCTTTTAAGAAATATATATGCATAATATCCTTCCCCCCCACCCCCTCCCCCACCCCAAACACTAAGAAGCATTAGTCAAAATTTTAAAACATAGTGGCTTAACCTAGTCTTTTAATTCCCCATTCCAGCTTCTTATTCAAGGTCTACTGTTCAGTGAAAACCTGGCAACTCATTCATTCTGAGTAGCCTTTTTAGTTATTCAGTGCTTGTGAAAACTGATGTAGCAGTTTGAATATGGATCCTATGTTCAGTGTTTTTGTTGGCAAGCCTGTAATAATTATGCTGCAAATCAAAATATGGGTTTGGATTTCAAAAGTGCCTTGAGCCTTGTTCCCACCCTTCTACAGAGACACTGCATAACTTTTTCAGATTACCAGGTATAAAATTATCAGTCTGAAATACAGATGAAAAACTTTTACCTAATCTTATATTTCTCCATGTGTGTCATGCCTATGGAAATGTACATACAAACCCTTTAATGCAACACATAAATAAAATCATTAGTTCCTGAGAGGCATTGTGCTTGGAAACTATCAAAGTCCCAAGCATTACTGCACTCATAATGTGGGGATACTAACAAGGAGTGTCACAGACAATGCTATTGTCCTATATAAAATAAAATCTGCTTTTCTATTTATATTCTGATCATTCTCACACAGCTGCTACCAAGTCCTATGTGCTTTGCCTGACACAAATCCCACTGACATGACTGGGAAGTCTCTGTTATTTACTGCGTTCAGCTGCCATCGAGCTGTTTAGGGCTCAGTTGTGGATGGAGAATTCTGAATGAGTGTGCTCCAGCTGGAGTGAGCACATGCTTGAGTGCTGTGCTGGATCAGAGCTGGGGAAAGCGCTGCACCTCTCTGCATAGCCCCTGCCGTCAGCTGCTCACCATGCACTGCACTTGCTGCTCAGCATCCATCCCACAGGGAGCCATGGGCTCCTGCAACCCAGCCCATGGAAAAGCAGGGTGATCGCTCTTTGTGTGCTGATTTGTTTTGTGGTTGAAAATTGAGGTATTTGGCCTAGGATCTTCCATGACTGTGTTATTGCTCTCCAGAGCCACTGGTTTCCCACCACTCAGAGTAACTCCAAGGAGCCAAACACACCCAAAGGTATCTCTCCATTTATTTTTAGCATTTTATCAGCCAGGGAAAAATGCAAATTCAAGAGCAGTGGCTCCTGACCTCTGCAAGGCTGTGCTGAAGCAGTGCCCTGTACCCCAGCACTCAAGGGTCCTCCCCAGACCCAGAGCGGGCCTCAGGCAGCTCTGCCCTGGGTGGCCTGGCCACCAAGAGACCAAGCAAACCCTAGGGGCAGGAAGCATTTGGAAAGGGAGGAGTACCGAGTTCCCAGAGGAACTCTTTTACCTCAGATTTATTCAAGTCTATTTGAAATGTGCCCACTCTACCCTGTTTCATCTGAATGCCACACCAGGGCTATTTGTAAGGCCTCTCAAATGTGACAAAAGTACTAGTGAAATTATTCTCAGAACAATCCATTTTAATAGAAGAGGCTTGAATTTTCTAGACAGCGGAGTGTTTTCTGCCAGAAAGGAGATGTCCAAACATCAGCCCCAGTACCTCCATGGTACTGCTGCCATCCAGCCCCTGAGTTGCTGGAATCTGTTTCTCCCTTCAGGTGACTCCAGCTGCCCACCTAGTCACAGCACAGGCTCTGAGAGCTGCTGCATCATAGCAGCCAGGTAGGCACCTTTCTCTCAACACCCAAATCTCTTTCAGACAGAAACTGGCTGCTTTTCAGACCCTTTGACTTAAACTATGGATCAGATTAATAATGACAAAGCTTTCTGGCCTCTGGTGTAATTTTTTTTTTTTAAATCTCTTTAATGATAGCAGATTGGAAATACCAGTCTGGTCTCCAATTGACCCTTGCTTTATAGATAATCTGTGTTGATTTTCTCCTGACTTCATCCATCTCTTGCAAGCAGATCCCTTATGAGTTTGCGGGGCAGTTTAGGAGATATACGATCACCTGGGGAACCAATAGGAGATAATTCCCGAGTACTGTGGATTATTTGCAATTTATTTCATCAAATTCATTGGAGCTGTACAATGAAATGTGCATTTGCCACCTTTCTGAGAGGAATCTAAAGCCTGAAGAGCAGTAACTGCCAATGCGTTTTGCAGAACTTTGCTGCTATATGGTTCCTAGTTTTCTGAAGAGTAAGTTCTCCTTGTTTATCCTGCCAAACAGGCCTTCTGCTTCAAATGATAAGGCAGTAATTCAGAATACATCTACACCCTATCAGAACTTTTAGAGACACCTCTGTGCCCTGCAGTTCAGCTTGGGATACAAATTTCCCTGCAACTTGCAGGTATTTAAGGTTGGGGCTTTGGCTCAGCTTCTTGAGTGAATGAGGGGAAGTCACCAAGTCAGAAGTAGCTTGGTATAGTTAGCAAAATAGAAACCTGCCAGACTGAAGGGGATGGCAGCTACTTTGCCTGTGACTGAGGAGGGAGGGATTAGGCATTTCAGCCAAACAGTTCGTTCCTGCCTCCTGTTTGTACCATCCATGTTGCTGTTAACTGCCTTTGTGAGATTAGGGAGAGGGTAAAGGAGTGCCAGTGTGTACCAGAGGGCCCCAGTACAGCAGCAGCAGTCACATCTGTCCTTTTATCTGCAGCAGGATTCCTCTGCCTTTTTGCCCTAGTCCTGGCCTAGCTCCTGTCCCGCCAAACCAGGACTGACCCGTCCTTGACAATCAAGAAAGAACAGAAAAAAATGTATAAATGGTGATGTTGGAAACAATGGAAGTAAACAGAAGGTCTCAGGGTGTCCTCCCTCTGAGGAGCAGAGAAAGGAAGAAAAAGAAGGGGTCACAAGGAGGAGAGGCACCTTCATGAGCAGGAAAAGGGCCCTGTCTCCTTTAAACTTCCTCACACAGAGGCCACTCACATCTTTCCCCTTCCCACGACACCTCTGCTACCCCTGCCTGCCTTGTCTGCTCCAATGATGCCCTCAGCTGGGAGTTTGGTTTTGCTACACAGTGTAACAAATAAAGAGATAAATTCCAGTTCCAGTAGATCACTCAACAGGCTCCCACTGATTTTTCTTAGGGGAACTCCTGGTCACTTTGAGATGCTTTCTTTAACATTCATCTATTTTTATTATTATTATTAATAGTAGTAGTAGTAGTAGTACTAGTGGTATTATTATTGGTATTAGTATTCAGCTTTTGTGTTCTGAGACCAATCACTTGATGCGCATTCCTCTTCTTCACTACTTTCAGAACTGATGACCTGTAATGGTGTGATAATTTCTTTTAACTTGAAAAAATAATATCTTGAAAGATTTCCTACTGATACAATCACTGTCTCCCCTGTGTGATTCAGTCATATGCAGATCCTGATATTTAGATTAGAACTATTTGGAGAAATTCCAAGTACAAGCCATGACACTGAGCAACTTGAAGCAACAACTCTTTTTTCTGCTATGCAGAAAACAAATCCCAAGAAGGCTTCTTGGAGAAGGAAGGGAGGGAGGGAATATGAGAGAGAAGAGAATGAGAGAAATCATTCCTAAGAGAACATTTAAGCACTGAATTTCCTGATTGTTAGTTTAATTTAATTGCTCTGCTTTTAAGAATTCATTTGTGCAAATTGTATCTGAAAAGAGAGGAGAGAACTTGTTTTCTGTGTACTAAATCTTCAAATATAGTGAGGTGGCTTGTGGCCTTCTCACTCTGCTACCTGCAGGTATTGAGTGTGAAGAACATTTTCTGTTTGCAATTCAAGTGCAGAAAGATAAAAGCAGAAAGGTAGAAAATCCCCAAATCACTGTATTCTCTCTCTTAGCACAGAAACAGCATGATCCTGTCGTGGTTTGACACGGAAAAAGAATTTTTCTGGAAGGAAGAGGTCAATTTGGACATTGACCAATTGAAGGTGGACATGCCTCTGAGAACACAGAGGGGTTAAAAGCAGAATTCCCAGGAGAACTCGCTCTCTCTGGTTCTGGTCAGCATGCAGTGCAGGCTCTCCCCTGCCCAGCCACGAGCTGGGTGGGGGAGGGGAGAGCCATGTGGCCTTCAGAGGTAGGCCCAAGGGTGGAGGGACTGGAACCGGGCTGGCCCCCTGCAGATGGAAGGGTGGAGAAATCTGGGATGTCAATGTTCCCCCCCAGAGTCTCTCTCTCTCCCAAGAGAGAGAAAGACAGCGGTGGTTTTGCCAGCAGTTCACCGCGGAGAAGGAGAAGAGCGGGGGGGGGCCGGGGGCCGCAAGGTGTGGAAGCTGGAGCCTGGGCAGCGAGCCATCTCTGGGAGTCGGGACTTTTAACCCTTCCTTGGGAAAATGAAAGCTTTGTGAAATTTTTCTCCTCCTCGGGTTGAAAGAGAGGAAGAGAGACAGCCTGGGACCTGGGATGTTGGAAGGAGAAATTCTAGGTGGGTGGAGATGATGGAGTGGCTTTTGGCTGGACTTCTTCTTGGTAGCCACAGACTGAACTGATCTTCTCCTCCAAGAGAGACTGTATTTTAGGAGGATGCCGGTGAGCCAAAGAGACCTGCTTCAGCTGGGAAAAAACAGAAGTGGAGCGAACAGAGAAAAGTTAAGGAGGTTTGTGGTGGTGCCCCCTGTCTTCGCAGAGGAAGAAGAGATTTCTGTTCTTGGACCCTCGGCCCCAGGGGAAAATGGGGGGGGACTGTTGGTCCCAAAAATGGAAAACTGAACTGTTGTTTTTTCCCCTCTTGGCAGGGCATCCTTGAAAGGAAAAATCCTAAAAAGCAGTCTGTCCATCCATGCATTGGTGGTGAGAGCACTGTGCATGGAAAGGAGAGGGTCACCATTGGCAAACTTTTTTTTCTCTGGGCGGTGCCATGTGGTGACATGGAAGCACAGGATGTGGCAGCTGTGTTTCTTGGGGGGATCTGTGGCACAGGAGAGGCTCCTCTCTCCCTGAAGATGGACTGTGTGTTGATTATCTGGAGGGTGGAAACCTGATTGGGGTCCAGATTGTGTCTCACTGTGGTTTGTTGGAGTTGGGTGGTGGGAGGAGGAATGCTTTGGAAGGTTTTCATTTTGAATTGTGTGTGTTTCTTTCTTCTTTTTTTTCTCTTTTATAGTAGCATAGTGGTAGTAGCTTAATAAAGTTTTTTTCTTATTATTAGGCTTGGGCCTGCTTTGCTCTGTTCTCGATCGCATTTCACAGCATTCAATTGAGAGATTGCATTTTCATGGGGGCACTGGCATTGTCCCAGTTTCAAACCATGACAATCCCTAGTTAATTTAAGTAGTCACAGAAATACAACTTCTGTTTTAAGCAGGTGTTTAAGTCCTGCTGATTCAGTATTCAGCCCAAATGCAAATGACTTCCACGGAATGAAGCTTGCACTGAACTGGATCCATTTAGTAAAATATTTCAGTCTGCTATTTGAGGGAGAAAAGAAGAACCTGGTCAACTGTTGGAAATGCCTCTGTAGCAAAATCACTTCTGTACTCATTGATTGTTCTGTTTTCTAGGGAATTTCTAAGGGGTTTTTTTTGTGAAAAAGTGTTACTGTAGATAGAAGGTTGATCTGGGGAAAAGTTACAGGAGTATTTAGGCATAATTGCCTTTTTTGAAAGTAGCATACTACATAGGATTTCCTCAACTGTACCAGAAAACATTAACATCCTGCAGCTGACATTGACAATTTTGAATTCCAGCTTTCCAAGTAAATTAGCGTCCTTGTAAATGTTTTGGTATCAAAGTTGGGACTCACTTTGAATAAGACAGTCCATAAACTCAGGGTTTTTTCTCATTTATTACTTCCTTTTACAGTGTTTGAAAGATGACAGCTGTAATATTTAATACTAAGGAATAGTAAATTTAAATAGCATATTTTAAAGTATTTATTAATTATGACATATATAAGTTGCTTTCATTTATAATTCACTTTTCTCCTGACATACTCTTTTTTGCTTAAAGTACCTGTGATTCATATCATCCATTACAAAAAAAACCCCACAAATTATTTTACATAACTACAGCATTTTTCTAATCACACAGCAAAATAGAAGGTAGAGGATATGAAAATTACTTATGACAGATGAGTCACATCAATATTTTGTTCTAAGCCACGAGAAAAATGAGACAGAAGGGGTGGGTATCAGAACAGATCAAAACCCTTAGTTGCTTTACGATCCAAAACCACAACTAGTTATTGAGGTGCAAAATGTTCTTTTTTAAATAAAGTGTGAGAAAGACACAGAGTTTTGTATTGCAAATGTTGGCAGCACATAATGTTGCAATTATTTTCAATATTTTGTGATGCTTGAATCATAACCAAAACTTTGAGCAACACCGAGGTAAAAGCATTTTTATGCTTGTTCACAGGCACACACACAAAAAAAAAAAAAATAGAAAAGAAGAAAAACTGAGTTTGTTGCAGTTGCTTCAGAAATGGTGTGCCAAGTTTCTACCAGTGATTGAAAGTAGTAACAGAAGGAAAGGATGTCATGGCATCCTCTTGCCTATTTTATTTTTTCCATTGTAGTAAATTCAAAATCGTTGAGATAGTATTCCTGTTCGTTTTATGGGATTTCTGTGCTGCTTAAAAAAATCTTGTGTTTTCTGTCTTAGAAAAGAATCATTCTGACTGCCTTTTAAAGGGAATTTACTATTTCAGTATATGTAGCTAAGTCAGTCTGCATATGAATCATAATCTTGTTACATGTTTGGAGCACAGTAATTAGGATCAATCACACTAGGTACACTCTCAGTAGGTTACTACCCATTATTGGACTTTAGAGGAAACATTACTCACTCCATCTGATGTGATCAGAGAATATTATCTATAATCTGACTCACTATTGGGTGAACAAGTGTGGAATTGTGTTATTATATGTTCTATTATGTATAAGGTCATTCCATGTATCCCCCCCACACTCTGTAAGTGACCCCCCGGGTTCTCCCATTTCCCCCCGCGGTCTGCCTTCCCGAGGAAGTGCTTAGTCACTTTGTTTACGTCTCTCAGACCATCTGTCAGCCACGTGGCGGGGTCGAGAGGCGACCGGGCACCCTTCCATCTGTCCATCTCCCATTGGACCCCTGCACCCCACTATCCCCAAGTCCCCCCGTGGCGTTATCTCATTGGCCGCCCCGGGTTTCCCCTATCCCGTACTTATAGAGCCAGTTGGGGACGCCCCGGTGCTTTTTCTCCTGCCTGGCCCCTGTTCGCTGCTGCTGCCCGGCCCGCCGCCTCTTCTCCCGCCGGATCCCTGCGTGCTGCCGCGGCTCTCTCTCTCTCCCGGCCCCTGCCGCAACCGCCGCCGCTGCCCCAGGCGATCGCGGCCGCCCCGGACTGCCCCGCGATCGCTGCCTCAGCCGAACCGCTGCCGCCGCCGCTGCCGCGGTCGCCGCGGCTCCTGCACGTGCCGGCAGCAGCGCCGCGGCTCCACACGCAGCCTCTCCTGGATCGCGGCCAGTGCCAGAGCGCGCCGCCCCGCCCCTGAATCGGCCAGGCGGCACGGACAAACTCGAACTCAGCACGCAGCAGCTTCTCGGTTTTTTCCTTCCCAACCAAGCCATAATAAACCGAGATATCGCCCGCGGGGGAAAAAGTCTCTCTCCTTTTATTCGCCTCGGGACTTGCCTAGCTCCCAGACCCACGCAGCACCGGCCGATACCCGCGAGGGTTCGCCGGAAAACACGGAAGTTGCCAGCGCTCCCCCCCCCTCACAGAGCTAGCTGGGACGAAAAGGGGGACAAGAGAGAGCGCTAAGGCAAACAAGGTATTCTGTTTCCTAGGCCCTGAGTATTCTCTTGTTTATTCCCTCTTCTTGATCCAGTATCCTACGAAGAGCTCAAGTCAGCAAGACAATAAACATCCCTCATGAGCCTGTCAGCAGCCTCAGCTCTTGGGAAAGGATGTGTTTTTTGTGGTACATGATGGAGGCAGGCAGAGTCCTTGAGGAAGGTCTGTGCACTATCAGAGTTTCTAGCTTCCCTGGCTGCACCATGGGGGCTTCCATATAGACTTGACAGCCGCTTCAGCCTGCCAGGCCCCACTCCAGCAAACAGTGGGGAAGGATCTAAACATCCACATGGAGACCTGCATTTTGTCATTTAGGATAACTTCAGTGCAGTTGTATGTGTGCTGTAAACTCCAAGTTACGCTTTAGGACTGAAGTGGAGCTGTATTTCTCATAATGAGAGTGAATTAGGTAGATAAGTTTAGCTTTGCTTAACACCACTTGTTTGTTCTTTTGGTTTATGAGCAGGGCCCTGTTCCTACCCACTCCCCACCAAAATCTGCCTTTTCCTCAGATGATAACAAAAGTAGCTGTTCCTGTGGAACATCCATCCTACCTGTGGGAGGATGGATTGTGAGAATAGAGATATTGCTGAAGGCAATCTCACCTCTGAGGAGTTGCAGCTGTACTAACTAAAGAGTAGGAACAGCCCTGCCCTTAATAGGGCACAGCTGTGTCCAATAAGGATGCTCCAATAAGGATGGGTGTTACAAAAGAGCGGGTTGATTAGTTGAGAAGAGAGTTGGAGTCGTTGGCTGTGCTGCTGTGAGGAGCAAGGTTCAGGCAGTTGTGCTAAAGACAGAAAGGGTCAGGTGATTGTGTTAGGGACAGTAAGGGTTATTTTGTGCTCCTAGGGACAGAAAGGGTCAGATGGTTGTGATAGGGACAGGTAGAAGTCAGCCAGCCATGCAGAAGAAAGAGAAAAGGAGTCAGGGTTGAGAAAAGCTGCCTGTGGGAGCTCACAGAGAGAAGGTATGAAAGTTTTACAGTAAGATAACAAACTGGTGGTGATAGTCAGTTCCTATCTACTATCAATTGGTGCTAAGCACCGATGCCAACAATTGGTGGCCTGTATGGGAATGAGTTCCGACACATACTGTGCTGGGCTGCTTTTATGCCACTTTTTCAAGCTGTGTAGGAGACACTAAACATGGAAAGTGAACTGGCACTTCATGGACAAGTGGTGAAAATTTAAGAACTAAATGGGTGGTCTTGACCAGACAATTCCTGAGGACTTTATTCAGAGAAATACATGTCTGAATAATTAGGAACCAGCACAATG